AAGTGCCCTCAGCTGCAGTTAGTCAACATGCCAAAGGGCACATTTTGGGGTGGTGTTCTGCGTTCTGAACCCTTTCGTCTCCCTCTTGCCCACACTGAGGTTCACAGGCACCTGCAGAGGAGCTGGTGCAGGAGGATGGGGAGGTGGGGAGGCAACATCCCCTCCACTGCGTGAAACGCTCATGGGCACATGGCTGCTGCCTCCACCTACCCAGACACAGAGCCAGCCACTGGCATGGCAAGCAGCAAGCCAGCACAGCCTCCAGGCCATCCATCCTTGCTTCTCAGTACCAGGGCCTCCCATCAACGCCAGCGCCAACAGAGAGCCTGGACCGCCCCAACCCCTCCCTCCTGCTCACTCTCCTTCTTCCTTCTAGAGCCCCTGCTGCCCCTGTCTCCAGAATTGTCCTCTGCTCGCCAGTTAACCCATCCCCAACGCTTGTTCATCCCCGGGAGGCCCAGCCTCTCAGCGCTCGATGGTCACCTGTCCCAGCCGCGGAAGGAGAAGGGGACAGAGGACACTGGTTCATTCCACCATATTTACTGGGGCCAGGCCCACACTAGGTGCTGGGGACTCCCAGGTGGACTCGACAGAAACCTGCCCTGAGGGCCTCGCATGTTAGTGGAGGAGACAAATAACAACAGATCGACCAAGACTCAGTGGGAAACGTGCAGCCTGGATAGGTGCCTTGGTAAAGCCAGGCTGACACAGAGAGGGCGGGGGAGGCCTGTGCAGGGGCCATGGTCACTCGGGAGAGGGAGCTCGGCGGCCTCCCAGCGGAAGAGCTGGAGAAACGGCCTGGAAGAGGGTCGTCACCCCAGAGCGGTGCACAGCTTTCCTAGGCTCTCACCCTGCCTTGTGTGGGACACAGAGGGCGCCGGGCAGATCTGACACCCACAGGCGTCGCCGGGTTTGCCGGCACACACACTCACACACACACACTCATATTCTTGCTCTCGCACACTTTCCACACATACTCTCACACTCACCCTTACACTCACTTTTACACATTTCCTCTCGCACACCACATACTCGCTCTCCACACTCGTCACTCTTACACATATTCACACAGTCATACACACACACACACAAACAACTTCTGTATTTGATTAGGAACCTACACTAAAGGAACATCTATCACCTTCCATGTTTTGTTTACATTGCAACACATTCTTATACTTAGCCTTGGAAGGGAGGCTCCATGCTCTCTCCCAGTTTCTGAGTAGCCCCCACCCCCAGCCCTGTGGCAGTGGAGAAGAGAGGGGAGAGAAGGCAACATTTAAAAAAAAAAAAAGAAGAATGCAGTTCTCCGTCCCTGGGTCAAGAATGTTGCGTTATCTAGACAGATGCAAATTCAGGAAACAAAGTAAGAACTCCAGTCAGCTGCTTGGCCTGCCCCATCCTTGCTGTACTTGGGTGAAATGTCCCATTAATTTCCCCCCAACCCCGGGAAAAAGTGACCTGAGAACAGGCCTGAACCCTTGCTGGCTTTCTTTGCAGCTTCCTGGAAAGAATCGACAGCGTCAGCTTGGTTGACTACACACCCACAGACCAGGTATGTGGAATTAGGGTCCCCCACCGCGCACCAGAATCTGCGAGATTCATTTCCAATATGATTTAACGATTATTTCAGAATGGATTAAGGAAAAATCCCTCAGATACCTACTTTTTGCACATCGTTTGTACTGCCCTGGGTGTGTGCGTGGACTGGTCATCAAACCTTGTGCCTTGCTCCCCTGACTCTAGCACTTAAGTGGTTATGAAAATTGCCAGTATGCAAATGAGTTTATCTGCAGACAAGGAACATGCTGTTCCTGTTCCTCCTGGAGCTGCCCTCAGGAAAGCGAAGTCTTTGCTTCCTGGTTTCATAAACTACGCCCATTCTGTTTGGGCCCCGGGCCTGGGGAGTCCCGTATCACAGCGAACTTTCCAGGTGTGACCCAGAGCATCCCCTTTGGGTTGAGTCAGAAAAAAGCACTCCACCTTTTTTTTTTTTTTTTTTTTTTTTTTTTTTTTTTTTTTTTTTTTTTTGAGATGGAATCTTGCTCTGTCGCCCAGGCTGGAGTGAAATGGCGCAATCTCTGCTCACTGCAACCTCCGCCTCCTGCCTCAGCCTCCCAAGTAGCTGGGATTACAGGTGCCTGCCACCTCGCCCAGCTAATTTTTGTATTTTCAGTGGAGACAGGGTTTTGCCACGTTGGCCAGACTAGTCTCAAACTCCTGACCTCAAGTGATCCACCTGCCTTGGCCTCCCGAAGTGCTGGGATTATAGGCGTGAGCCACCATGCCCAGCCCACTCCACCAATTTTTAAATAGCAGAGAGGGAATCGTGCCCCTTCGACTCTCAGGCAGCTGCAGAGACCTGGAGAGCCCCTGGATTGATCAATTCAGGAGCCTTCAGGTGCTTCTAGAGCCAGTGAACCCCAAAGAAGTTAGAGGGGTCTCTCTGTTCAAACCACACTCTCCAAACCTCCCCCAGAGTCTCTATTCCCTGCAAGGCCTTGGCCCTGGGCCCCCAAAGTGGAAGGTCTGAGGCCTGAGCTTCTTTTTCTCCCATGAAGTTTCTCTCTCTCAGGCTGAACCTGAGAGTTTGAAATTATCTGACAAAGCAATGGAGGCTTCCTCGTCTTGAGTCAGTCCCTCAACTAACTCACCTATCCTAAACAGTTCTCATTATACTAAAATGGGAGGACCACCTCCCACGTTCCAGAATTATTACGGAGTGGCTGCTTCCTTCAAAGCACATGGATTTGGTGGTCATTAAAAAAAAAAAAAAAAACCCTGACATCTGCCAAATGTGCCAGGGATGCCAGCTTTGTGAGGCTGCATGGCTTTCTCGTCCCCTCGGGGTACCACATCTTTTATCTTGGAGGAAAGAGAAATGTGCAGGGAAGAGAGAATAAATGAAATCAACTAGCATCCAGTTCATAAGGCTGAAGACATATGAGTGCAGAGTTACACTTCCTTTGGTTTCTCACCCAAGCCATCGTGAGTCTCACCCAAGCCAACAGAGCACTGGCAGGGGCGTCCCTCTGCAATGCTGATGCCCTGACTGTGGTTGTCAGGTACATGTCGGTAAGATTCTTTGAGACATGAGTTTTTTGAAGTTTTAAAACAAAAGGACAGTTATCAGGTCTCTCAGGACCAAACCAACACATTAATTGTGGCTTTCTCTGGAGGATAAAACAACATTCGTCTGAGTTTTTTTTTTTTTTTTTTTTTTTGAGACGGAGTCTCACTTGTCACCCAGGCTGGAATGCAATGGCACGATCTCAGCTCCCTGCAACCTCTGCATCCCAGGTTCAAGCGATTCTCCTGCCTCAGCTTCCCAAGTAGCTGGGATTACAGGCGCCTGTGACCACACCTGGCTAATTTGTTTTTTTGTATTTTTAGTAGAGATAGGGTTTCACCATGTTGGCCAGGTTGGTCTCAAACTCCTGACCTCAGGTGATCTGCCCGCCTCAGTCTCCCAAAGTGCTGGGATTACAGGCGTGAGTCACCATGCTTAGCCAGTCTTAGTTCTTAATTATTATTGTTTCGTTTACAGTGGAACAAATTATTTGAAAAATATTGCTGATGTATAGTTATACCCAAGCTTTACTTTGAAGAAGAACAGTCATGTAACTCAGCTTGCTTCCTTCTTCTTGTTCCCAGGACCTCCTCAGATGCAGAGTTCTGACATCTGGGATTTTTGAGACACGATTCCAAGTGGACAAAGTAAACTTTCAGTGAGTATGTTGTTAAGAGCCGCGTGGCCCAGGGCCTCATGAAGTCCCAGAGCCGAAGGGTTGTGAGGTTTAAGGGGCTTCATTCCTGAATGTGCATGGCTGCCCTTTCAGGGAAGGGCAGCTGGGGTGAAATTCTAACTCTAGCAAGACTTGAAGTGTTGATTTTACTGCCTACTTTAAAGCAGAAATGAGGACACCTGAAAGGAAGGCAGTGTCTGCCTCTGAGTTGTAGATTTGATTGGCCCTTTTTTTAGATCAGGAGACTCATGAAATTTTGATCTTCCAGATGCACAGTCCCAGTTTGAGAACTGAAATGAGCAGTTCATGTGTGTCTCCAGCCCAAGTGCAAACTCGGCCAAATGAGCTTACTGTCTTCATTTCTCTCCCTCATGATAAGACAGTAATTCTCCGGCCACAAAGCTCTTTTTGTCCCCGTAGTTGTGATCCTAGTCCTGCTCCATCACTTCCCCAGCCCCTAGACTCTCTCAGCAGGGCCCTGGCTGGTCTCCTGTCCCCTGGCTTACCCATTTTGGTCGCCCTACTCAGTGCCACGACATGAATCTTCCCACAGCATGGCCTGGATCGTGCTATTCCTCTGTTGAAAAAGGTTCGGGGCTCACTACTGCCTGTGCACCCTATGACCCAAGCCCTCCACCTGTGACCAGCCCCATCCCCAGCCCTGCTTTGTCACCTGCCACCTGCCTCACCAGGCTGGGCTGCTGTCAGGACCCTTCCAGTTCTCCCAGCTTTTCCTGCAGCCGCGCCTCTGTTCATCTTGTCCTCTGAGCCTCAGATGCCACCTGGGCTAACCCCACAAATCTATCAAAGCTTCCTTCAGGCCAGGCATAGTGGCTCATGCCTGTCATCTCAGCACTTTGGGAGGCCAAGGCAGTAGGATTGCTTGAGACCAGGTGTTCAAGACCAGCCTGGGCAATATAGCAAGACCCTATCTCTACCAAACTTGATGGCATACACCTGTGGTCCTAGCTACTCAGGAGGCTGAGGTGGGAGGATCTCGTAAGCCCAGGAATTCAAGGCAGCAGTGGGCCATGATTAGGCCATTTCACTCCAGTCTGGCTGTCTCTAAAAAAAAAAAAAAAGCATCCAAGCGTCCCTCAAATCTCAGCCCATGGTGACCCCTTAGAATTCCCATTGCATAGTGCAGCCAGTGATGGTATTCTGCCCTATACCTTGCCCAGTCACCCTCAGCATGTCTAACTCTACTCTAAGGGACCTCAAGGGTGAGGTCCCTTAGAGCAAGAGTTTCATGATTTTCAGTGTGTTCTGAGACTCCTGCAGTGCCTGACCAGTGCACAGGTCACAGGCACCTACTTCCTGCAGTGCTCTCCCCAGTGCACAGGTCACAGGCACCTACTTCCAGATTTCCCAAGAACCATTCACACGGCCAGTGTCAGGCTGGAGAAAAGCCAGCTATGTCCGTCTCTGCTGTGAGGCCCTCAGTGCGGTGTGGAGTTGGCATGACGTGCGGTTTTGCCCACATCAGAACCACGTCCCTGGCATAGTGGAATTATTAACAGTGAAGCTGTATCTCACGTTCGTGATTTTGTTTGAAAGGATTCTGCTCATCAGCTCATCCATTTTCATCAAGTACCTCAGCGTGCCCCATGTGTGCTAATGCAAAGCGTACAGATTAAATTCTAATAGGATCAGCAACATACCCACCCAGGACAAAACAGTCTAGCCCGTGTGGTCCTAGGGCACATGCACTGTGTTTAGGGAGGGGAGAAATCTCAGAGCCAGGGACGCTTGCAAAGGTTGGAAGGATCCAGCAGAATCTGGGTAGGTAGAGAAACTCTCCCAGGGAGAAATGGCTTAGGCCACAGGGTGCGCTGAGCAGGGGCTGTGAGAAGAGGGGCCTGGGCCTGGGCCTGGGCCTGGCCTGATGAAGTACAGAATGCAGCTGAGAAACTCTGAGAGAACTGGCTGAGGCCACCTTGGCTGGGCAAGACCAGGAAGCAGCTCGGGCTGGGCAGAGCAGCCTGAACTGAATCCAGGCGTGATCAAGACCCAGTGCAGGTCACCAGGCAGAGGTGGCTAGAGATAAGATGCATGTAGTGTAGACAGATCAGCAAGGAGCCTTTCTCAATTCTCACGGGGAGGGGACACAGTGTCCCAAGAGCTGGAGCAAATCATAGGAAGGATCTGCCCTGGGCAGTGACTTAGCTTGTACTCAGACAGGCACGAGTGTCTGAGCAAGTAACCTCTTGCATTACTGAGCTAGTGACCACTGGATTTATTAAGGACCTACTGTGGGACCTCAGACACTGCCGGCTGCTGTCTGCTTGACCTCTCACCCCTGTAGCCCCACTGTGGGGTGACTGAGGAGGGACTGCGGCTGAGAGGTGGAGCCACTTGTATTCCAGGATCACACAGGGAGTGATGGTGCAGACCAGCCAGTGACCCGAGCCTGACTCAAGACCCATGTGTGAACGCTGGAAGCTGCTGACAGCCAAAGAGGAAAGCAAGCACGTGTGCGGTTGTTCCCTGCTTTCCCCAAATAACTGTGTTCCTCTTGCTCTTCCATAGCATGTTTGACGTTGGCGGCCAGAGGGATGAGAGGAGAAAATGGATCCAGTGCTTTAATGGTGATTTTTTTTATGCTCTCTCAAGAAAATGGGAGTGAATTCTAACACTCAGCATTGCTGTGCTTAACTGTCTTTGAATTAGATGATCTCTAATCTAACTAGTATGTAAAGCATAGCATTTTATAGATTATGATGCTCCTTCCTTAGATACTAATCTCATTAAAAAAAGCATTTAAGGGCCAGGCGCCATGGCTCATGCCTGTAATCCCAGCACCTTGGGAGGCCAAGGAGGGCGGATAACCTGAAGTCAGGAGTTCGAGACCAGCCTGGCCAATGTGGAGAAACCAGAGCTCTATTAAAAATACAAAAATTAGCCAGGTGTGGTGGCTCATGCCTGTAATCCCAGCATTTTGGGAGGCTAGGGTGGGTGGATCACCTGAGGTCAGGAGTTCAAGACCAGCCTGACCAACATGGTGAAACCCCGTCTCTACTAAAAATGCAAAAATTAGCCAGGTGTTGTCGTGCACGCCTGTAATCCCAGCTACTCGGGAGGCTGAGGCAGGAGAATCGCCTGAACCCAGGAGGCGGAGGTTGCAGTGAGCCAAGATTGTGCCATTGTACTCCAGCCTGGGCAACAAGAGTGAAACTCTGTCTCAGAAAAAAATACAAAAATTAGCCAGGCGTGGTGACACATGCCTGTAATCCTAGCTACTAGGGAGGCTGAGGCAGGAGAATCACTTGAACCTGGGAGGCAGAAGTTGCAGTGAGCCAAGATCATGCCATTGCACTCCAGCCTGGGAGACAAGAGTGGAAACTCTCATCTCAAAAGAAAAAAAAAAGCATTTAAGCATCCCAAATTTATGTGCATCTTTTGGGCTGGGCTCTTCATCCAGTGTGTTACTGAAGCAACCAGTGGTGTGCACGGCGCACGTGCAGGCTGTTCTGTGACTGAATAGTCCTATCACTGAATGAATGTTTTTGTGGAACTGAGTGGCTGCTGGGTGTGTACTTTCTTGCAGCTCCACAGCGACGGTGTCTAACTGAGGTGCTTTCCTTTTTCTCCCCACCAAGATGTCACGGCTATCATTTACGTCGCAGCCTGCAGTAGCTACAACATGGTGATTCGAGAAGATAACAACACCAACAGGCTGAGAGAGTCCCTCGATCTTTTTGAAAGCATCTGGAACAACAGGTGACAAAAATAACAAATTCAGTCTCACTACTGGATTGCAAATTTTCTTTTGTTAAAAATACGCTCAGGCCAGGTGTTGCGGCTCACACCTGTAATCTCAGCACTTTGGGAGGCCAAGACAGGAGGATCACTGAAACCCAGGAGTTGGAAACCAACCTGCGCAACATGAAGAAACCCTGTCTCTACAAAAAATACAAAGATTAGCCAGGCGTGGTGGTGCACACCTGTAGTCCCAGCTACTCAGGAGCTTGAGGTAGGAGGATCGGTTGAGCCCAGGAGGTGAGGGTTGCAGTGAACTGAGATCACACTACTGCACTCCTGCCTGGGCAACACAGCAAGACCCGGTCTCAAAACACACACACACCTACACCCACACCCCCCACACACACTCTTTACTGATAAATCCAGAACTGTACGAAATATCTCTTTTAGTTCATCTATTGTATAGACATACTAAAAATGTGGAGTATTTTATTTTATTTTATTTTATTTTGAGACGGAGTCTCGCTGTGTCGCCCAGGCTGGAGTGCAGTGCCGCTTTCTCAGCCCACTGCAAGCTCCACCTCCCGGGTTCACGCCATTCTCCTGCCTCAGCCTCCCGAGTTACTGGGACTACAGGCGCCGCCACCTCGCCC